ATAATAGCTATCATTATTGACTCGTGGTATAATCTACAATTTTTTTCATATTTGCTAAAAAAATATTAACAAAAACGCGATTATTTAAGGTATTTCTTTGATAATTATTTGCTAGTTGGAATCTTCATTTTTTTACAGTTTTTTCTCTACATTAAACGCCCTGATATTTGGAAAAAAATCATAATACATTAAGTTTTCGTGAACGCGTTGGCAACAGGGTATGGCCATAAGTACCTGTCGAACGCCGCCTACGCTTGCGAGATGAGGCGCCGAGACGCTGATGATAAAAAGACAGAGTCGGCTTTTAGCCGATTCTGATTAAACAATTTGTTGGTCGGTTTTAAATTATTTCAGAAGCTGCGGTTATTTTTTGTGTTTTTTTTTTTTTGTGATTGGTGATTGTGTGAAAATATTCAAATTGGAAACTATTTTACATAAACTTTATTAGGGTATTTATAAATTTTTAGCTACCAGGCAGGTTGTCGTATACAAAATGGAAAGCGCCTTTAAAAAAACATTAATTTTTTTGATAAGACATAAATGCCCCTTTAGCGTACGTAGAGAAAAGTTATCGCCGAGGAGGCAAGATAATCTCGAGGACGCTAAAAAGATTCGCGGTCATGGGTCATGGTATACACGCAATTTTTTGTGCAGCTATAAGAATTATGTGAAGCTACACAAAAATTGTTTGGATTTGACACATTTTGAACGTAAGGTGTGGCGGCCGCGAAATGGAATTTCGCTGCCTGCGTGGCGGTCGCGACAGCTCATTCCGTTGAGGGTTGCAAAAAAAAATCAATAATACAGAGGTTTCGGACTTCTCGGATATATTTTGCACATCTTTATGTTTTACAATAGCACTAATTTTTTTGTCAATGGTTTCACTTTAGTAGTACAGTTCTCTTTCACACAGTACTACAGGACCAAAATACCTCTCCAATCTTGCTTCTACCATACTATTTGGGGCAAAAGAGATAATCATTTTAGTAACTGAAAATTTTGTGTTGACCCTCATTTTTGGAGTGCAATTTGGCTATTATTTTCACCTGATGATTTGGTCCGCAATTTGACAAACCCGTTAGGCCCGAATTCACCAAAAACGCTGAAATCGTCGTTTTCGTAAACGCCGTTTATCATAAACGACAAAAATAAAACGCAGTTTTATTCTGCGGTATTCACCGATAGGTGTGATGTGTTTACCGCCTTCCAAAACTAAACGCGTTTCGGCATTTTAACAGTTGGTACCAGTGCCTGTTGTATAATACCAGACGAAATTTTGTGCCGGTATCTTGAGAAATTTGGGAGTGATCACCAGAAATACATAAATAGTGACCCCAATTAAGTATTATGTCCTCTACTCGTAAGGTTTTGCACGATTTGGTGATGTAATTTTCAAGTTTTAAAGGGGTTTCACACCACATAACCTATATTTCAAGAATCGAGAAGACATGATTTTCAGTTTTTTTAGTTATTTTTTACATTTTGTACATGTGGGGCAGATACGAACAGTACAGGGTGGGGCACATTCGGACTATCAACTTCTCATGCTGGGAATGCTCGCATAGCTAAATTTTTGAAATTCAACGTGAATTTTAGTTCTTTTTATCTAAAATCAATTCTTTTATATTTTAATAATAAAAACATGATTAATTTACGTTTTTTTGTCATTATTTATTTTTGGTATTTTTATATTATTTATTTTTGTAGGCTAGTACCAAAGTTCCTAGGTTTGTATGTTTGGAGTTCCTTCAGACTATAAGTTTTGATGTTTAGATAGATGCTGAATTATTTAAAATATACCTGTCAAAAAATAAACTGTTTATAAAGTATATGTCCGAAACTGCCCCACCGTGGGGCACCTTCGGACAATTGTCAATTTTTTTTTATTTTAATTTTCACGAAAAACGGTGCAAGTTTTTTCTGAAATTGCTATGGTATTGGCTTAAAAACATATGAAACAATATATTCGCATGTTTAGAACATTTAGTTTAGCTAAAATAAAAGTTCAGTATCACCTTAACCAAATCCGTCCGAAGCTGCCCCACTCTACCCTACTATTCACCAAAGTAGTTCCATTTTCTGTCCCGAATTACGGTAAAACGTCGTTTCAATCCACAAACGCCCGGTAAACAGCCGCTTTGCTCCTGACAGTAGTTTTAGGAACAAACTACGGATTGGGCATATGGTGAATTCCATTTGTAGTCGAAACCGCGTTTAAGATTCTAAACCAAAGTTTTACACGTTGGTGAATTTGGGCCTTAAAAGTTAGTAGGTACTAGAATAATTAAATCATGATTGTTTAGGAGCTTTTGGGAAAAAACCCTCATTAAAACCTAGTTTTGATTATTTTATTTCTTTGTATTTTCACACATAACACGCCCTTCAGATAGTGACAGATTTAGGTGCCCCATTCTCGCATACAAGCCTCGAAGAGGGTTGATAAGTTACTTCGCTGGTGAGTAGAATGGAGTGAAATTTACGAGTCGCCCCTGGGGATAAAATATGGAAAATTCGATTTTCCTTCACCGAAATAAAAGGATTCTGTTGCCAATATTTCCATGCAAGCCGTGTTCACTAAATGATTAATTATTAAAAACCTAGCTTCGGAAAAGCAACGGTTTGAGTGCTTTAGGTGGCTGAAGGGTTGAAAAAAGGGCCTTATCTTGTAAGAAAAAATCGAAATTTCGACCAATTTTTGCACACAAGCCTATCGGAAGAGGAAGTATAAAAACGTTCATCGTCACTACCCCGAAAAACATATTTGCTTGAGTGGCGGGAATGGATAAGTACATTTTGAGGTCGGAAAATTTGACCGATTTTTCTTTCGATTTTTCAGTTATTTTTCCATGAACGAAATTAATTTCAATAAAAACTTATGAATAAAAGAATCTAGAAAAAAATAATGGCTTGAGTCTAGAGCGTGGCCTACAAATTTTCAGAACATAGGAAAATTGCAGAAATTTTATGCAAACCGCCACCATTTTCTCACACAAGCCATTTGACATACATATCCCTAGAAAAAAGTGATTCTAAGACTATATATCAAAAGGCTTGAGTGTCGGACATGGAGCATATTATTTAGTTTACAAAGAGCTGAGAAAAAAAAATCTATGAAGTTCCACCATTCTTCCTTTTGGCATATGCTTGAAAAAAGTGACCCTAAAACGATACAAGAGAAAGCATGAGTAACTATTGAACATGCATAGAGCATTATTATTTATCTGAAAAAGAGCTGACAAAAAAATGTATAAATGTTTATGCAGGGATATTATTAGGTATAATTATTTTTATTACTTAGTTATTCTTCGTATCAGGTGATTGTTTATATTTTGCACCCATACCTATCTCACCTGTTTGAAGAGATAGCGAGAAAAGTCAAACGTGAAAGTTGTAAGTAATATCAGAAACTTTTCAACTCTACAGGGTGTGTCACAAAAGTGTGGTGAAGCAAATTTATACTTTTTTAAATGGAAAACCCCGTATATGATTGTCCCATTGGATTAGCCTTCAAACCTGATTCCAAATATACTACAGGTTTTTTAGGTTTATTCCTCTGAATATACCATTTTAAACAAATAATATGGATTTTTCACATGAATGATTACCTACCTTTATAATATAGGGAATTTTTCATATTTCTCAAATTATTTTTTTTAGATACTTCTTGGGATCAGATATTATATAGTTTTCTTTTTTTCCATTTTAATTTATACATTGTACGAAAATTTTTTTATTTCATTTGCAAGTTCCCTATTGACAGTTTTTTTTTTTAACCATTTATTCACAATTTTTTTTATAGTACATTCATATTACACATAATCTTAAATCAGTGTATAAAACACTGGTCTCAAGAATATAATATTAATAACAAAATGGTGATGCTAAATCTAACTAAAGTTAACAAACATTTTATTTTTTTTTTTTAATATTTCTATGAAACAAATATTATTATTAAGTTATATCAGTACCTAAGTGCATTTTGAGTTTCCTATGAAATTGACTAAAGTTTTGTAACTCTTTTAAATTAATAGGTAAATTATTATAATTCCTAGATGCAGAATGCATGGAGGAGTGAAGAACAATATTTATTCTGCTATTGCCAATATAAATATTTTTTTCTGATCTTGTGCCGTAAGTATGTATTTCATTCTGAAAAACTAGCCCTGAGTTGCATTTTTGTTGTTTATGTATAATTTTGTACATCAGTTTGCACTGCTCAAGCTGAATTAACATTTCCATTTTGTACACATTTAGTCGTGTATATAAATATTCTGTGTTAGTTAGTATATTGTAATTGAAAAGAACCTTTAAAATTTTGTTTTGTTGAACTTGAATATCATTTAAATTGGTCGAACTGCATATGCCCCATATGGGAATTAGATATATTAAATGGGAAAGAAAATATGAGTTGTATGCATTCATCTTTGTATTATATGTAAGATATTGTCGACATTTATTATAAGATCGGTACCATTGCATTTAGTTTTTCAATTACGTGATTAATGTGGGGTTTCCAGAGCCAGAGATCGTCAATTAATAGTCCTAAATATTTAATATTTTCAACTTGTTCAAGAGAGACGTTGTTTATTTTAATCTCAATATTACCAACTATTTGTATGCTTGTAGAAGAGGTAATTTTTTAAATGTTCTATTTTTTATTTGGACAATATTTATTATTTCTATTTTCTGTTGCAGATTGCACGAGATGATTCATTTTGGCGTGGAAAAATATTACCAAAGTTGCAAACATTTTACAACAACTGTTTGTTGCCTGAATTGGTAGATCCTCTTCATCCAAAGGGAATACCCATACCCTATAAAGTTGCTGATGTTGAAAAAAATTAAATAAATAATTACAAAAATTCATCACGTCTTTTATCACACCATAATTTTATTTCCCATGTTAAAATTCCCTACATCCACCTACAATAATCCATAATATTTTCAAAAACTTATAAACGAGCTAGAATTTAAATCGATAAGATTCGGTCCTGCATTGGCCCACAGCCATCCTCGGTCAAATTTCAATTTTACACGAGTTACATACGGCTCCTACATTGTATATTTTATTTAATCAGCATATTATTTTTCCTTAGTTTACATTCTGTATTCTCTTTTTGTAGCTTCTACTCGCCGAGCGTCGTCAGTCAGAGCTTTGCATTCACTTTCGACGCCTCGAAATTTAAAAAATTTTAAACGTAAAAATATTGTAATAGTTTTAAGTGAAATAAATTTGTTTTTAAAAAATCGTACATCGCGTACTGATTTGTAACTCACGGAATAAATATATTTTTATTGCATTTTTCCTTTCCCGCTTCGGCCCTAACAGGTACCGACGGTACCGTTGCCTATACTTGCGACGCTGTGCAGTAACATTGTTGCCATATTAGCCGATTTTCGTCTCCCTATGGCTCGCGGCAAAGACTGGCGGTTCGGAATCGCAATCGACGCGTCACTGAATACTCCTTTGCCGTGGCATCCGGGCGCACGCACGCGATCGCGATCTGTCAGTCGACTGGCGGACCGGCTGATGATCTGTATTAGATTAGTCATATAGGTATGTGGTTTTGTTATAAAATATATTTAAGTTATCGTTACTATTGTTATAAAATTATTCTATATAAAAAATTTAAAGTGAATTACGAATTAACGTGCAAGAATCATTTCTACATTTGGCAACGAGGATTAAACAAATCAAAGGTATGTAAATATGACGTACATTTTTTTTCAAGGCTGAATGAAATAAAATACGATAAATTTGTTTATATCGAGTAAACCGAGTTGAAACTGGTTTAAAATCATGAAAAGGCATTAAAAGTACCTATGCGATATAAAGTAGCTTAATAAACAAAATAGTCATCAGACTTATACAATAATGCATAATAGATAAGCAGCAATATGGATTTCTTTCCTGAACAAAGCATAGAAGTATGCAGTATATATAAAAAAATTCGTAAAATAATAACTAATAATAGTATATTATGCAATGATCATGTAATGATAGCCATTAATACACGAGCATGTTGTAGGATACGAAACGAGCCGCAGGCGAGTTTCGTATATAACATGCGAGTGTATTAATGGCCATTACATGAGAGTTGCATACACTATTTTTTCTACTGCCATTGATAAAACTTGATGATATTTAGATATGTCAACATTATGCTTAACTTTGAATAGGGATTTTATAATTGAGTAATGCGTCCATACAGTTGAAGGTTTCATTTTTTGTTGTAACTCTTCAAAATATACCATTTTCTGAGAAGGATGATGTAGTTTTGGTGTTTCTCCAATCCATAAATTGTCCATATAATTTTTCGTAAATTTTCTTGGACTTGTCCGGTAGTATATTATTAACTGCATTTGTCGCCCTTTCTGTAATTTCTGGAGGTGTTAGTGAAAATTCTTCGTTATCGCTCAATATTTCCATAATAATGCCTTCTCCCAAACTTTAGGTATTAACTTTTAATAACAATTTGAAGTATTTTTTTTTATAAAATTATTGTTTTTCGCTAAATTACCATGGAAAAGCTATAAACAGAGTGCTGTCAACATTCAAAAAAAACAAAAAAATTAAATTTTTTTAACTGGTGGCGCCATCTATTGACAATGTATAATAATGAAGAAAGTAAAAATTCTTCCTTATCATTCATGATTTCCATAATAATTATTCTTAGTTCCAAACTCAAGGTAACTTTTCGGATTCTTTTTTATAGTTATCAAAATAATTGTTTTACGCAAAATCACCGTTTAAAATGTTTAATATCTTAACTAGTGCTGCCATCTATCAACATTGTATAATATTAAAAATGAGTATTATAATGAAAATCTGTATCGTAATGAAGTTCATTATGATACAGATTTTCATCGTTTAATAGCGTATTATGAAATGTCAGTAGAAAAAGTATAATATTGTAATGTATGCAATATAAAGCATAATAGGTATGCATAATTAATGATTAATGGTATAATAACTTCCATAAAATAACAATACTTGACAGGAACAGTGGCGTATTTTTTTAATTTTTTTGAATTTTTTTTTCTCGATTATTTTATAATCGCTAAATGTTATTCTTCTGCTGTAATTTCCCTTATACCAACTACCCACATAACAAAATTACATCCTTAGAATGTACTGGGAAAGTTATTTTTTAGGAGGAATGTGCCTAGAATGTTGGCCAAAACCATTGCGAATGTCCTAAGAATGTTCTGAGAAAAGATTGTAGAAATACTATTTGCAATACCCAAGAACTTCCTGGAAAATCCATTATGATATTCCTAAAATACACCTATGAGATTGTCAGTATATCCTGTTTGATTCTAAAAATTTTCTCGAAATGTATATTCTCACATTCAAAGAATGTTTCTATGACATTATAGTTATGTTCTCAAAAGAATATTATACCAATATGCTTGAAATATTCTTAGAATATATCTACATACATTCTTGTTTGATTCTAGGAATTTACTTGGAACGTTAATTTTCGCATCCAAATAACGCCCCTTTCAGTCCTTTTATATGAAAGGCAGTGAAAGTGTTGTTGGAAAACTTCTCTGGAAAATACAAGTGTTTACCCATAGCTCCGGTTTCGAGTTTGTTATGCTCTCGTCGCGATAAGCACGCCAACTGAGAGAAACAGGTTTCAAGGCGATTCAAACGCTAGGCAAGATGTAGATCTTTAATAGCTCGTGGCTCCCTCTCTTGGAAGTCCTACAAAGCAAAAGAAAATGAATATACCTATAATATTTTTGGTAGGTTCTAGAGAGAGCATTATTGTTTAATTGTTCAATTAAAATTTTTAGTAGGTACTTTAGATAATTAGGTGAACAATATGAATATATTCTTATCATGGTTACCTACCTACACAAACTTATCAGCACAACTTGGTAGGTATATTCTTAATACTTGATAGAGATATTAGCCGAAAGAATATTTTTTAGGGTACATTATAATAATGTTCGTATGACAATATTCAAATAATGTTATATAAGGTAGGTTCTTAGCACAATCTTTCAGGAAGGTGCATAGAAGGAACATTCTTAGTACATAAATAGAACGTCCAAAAATGAATATTTCAATCGAAACAATCTTAGAATATTCATTAAACATTCCAAAAAGCACTTTGAGGGAATATTCTGAGAATATGAATGTTCTTTCACTGTTAAGTGGGTATGTAGTAAGTTTTCATCAAAATTCCCAGCAGATAACTATTTTTATGCACATTCCCAGAATAAACTATTTCTATTGTTGTCAAATACCATATTAAGTTTTTTTTTTAATTCCTTTTCACAAAATACCCAGTGGAAAATACCTACCTGGTTTTTACTATAATTTAAATGAATCCCTAATGTTAACAATTGTTATTTGTTAAATTGCAGAGGCAACTTGACATCAACATGGACTTAACACAGAAGGAAATAAATACATTCCAAATGCATGACGCCTGGGAAAAATGGCAACGCAGCCTGGATATCTATTTTCTGGCCAATACGATAACCGACGACCAAATGAAACGAGCAAAACTTTTTCACTATGGTGGAATTGAGCTCCAAGATTTGTTTTATGTACTGCCTGGAGCTAATGTTGAAAAAAGCCCTGATAATTAATGTATATAATATCGCTGTAGAGAAATTTAAAGAATATTTTCTTCCCAAGCGAATCACAGCTTATGAACGACACATATTTTTTGGGCTCTGCCAAAACATAGGGGAACTTGCAAGCAAATGCAATTTTAAGCATGATATAGACGAGTATATTCGGGACCAAATCACGTCGGAAACAAATAATGATAAGCTACAAGTTATCATGCCAAAGCACTTGAAGCCATTTCACCACATAAACAAGCTTTTCAAAAACCGATTGAAGGTATTTCCAAAATAGAGGCTCTTACCAAAACATTTGAATCCGAATGTTACCGTTGTAGAAAATAACGAATCACGGAACAGATGATAATTGTCTGGCATGAAAACAAAGATGCAACAAATGTAATTTGATCAGGCACCATGCTATGAAATGTCGTACCAGGAATCCAAAACGCCAATACAGCGGCCCGTCAAGAGATTATTCAATTAGAAAACGGCAAAAATTTAACCAAAAACATGAAACAATCCGAGCAATTGATGAAGGAAACAGTGATTTCTGACTAGGAACGGATACGATCCCTTGTGCAGTAGGCGGTATTGTCATTTAAATGTGCATAGACACCGGTTCAAATAAAAACATTATTGGAGATAAAACATGCATATTTTTAACCTTCGTCTTCCCGGTTGGGGTACAAATGTACCCCAGAAAACAATTTTTCTAGCATATTTTCCCATAAAGTGCATATTTTTTGTGACTAATTTTATTTTGCGTCAGTAAGGGCTTCGCACATAATTACTGATCATCAAAAATGTTCTATTTATTTATTTTTTAGAAATAATAATTTTTGCATAGCGTGGAGCATATGTTCCCAATGACGTACCCCACGTGGGAATCTGTGGCTACTCTATCAAGTAGTCACCTTGTAGGAAATTTGCAGGTTGGAAATAGATTTCCAACCTGCAAAATTTAAAAATCACGATAATAAAGCTAATCAAGAAGTATCTGTGGAGCAGGAAAAGAACGAAAGTTTACGGGAAGTAGAAGGTGAAAAAATGGTTTATAAATCGAAAGATTGGGCGAATATATCATTTCCTAACTATTTTTTTTCGCTAACTGTACTCGATGGGTTGATTTTATCGATTATAACTGTTTAGTATAAATAAAATCATGTTTAATTATCAGAAGTATCATTTTTATCATGAGGTACGAATGCACCCCACGTGGGAATCTACGTAATTTTCTTTGACGTGGGAAGACGGAGGTTAAATAAAATGAATGCAATTATCAGAGATTTTAAAAGCAACTCCGACATATCGTTTAAAGCATATGGATCAGATGTACCCTTAGAAGTGATCGGATTTTTTTCGGCCACTCTTAACACCGGCAAAACAAGTTCTGATGAAAAATTCTATACAGGGTGACATTTTAAAAACTTACAATAGCTATATCTCAGGAACCAAAAAAAATATAAAAAATCGCTGAAAACAATTTCTATAGTAGGGAGGGGGAAACAAAATTATGTAATAACCTTAGAGCAGGAAAGCGCTGTCCTGCGGACATAAGGAGTAGGAACGCGCCATTCTGCTTATGAAACTAAAGTGAAGCCAAGTTTTTGGCAGGTGTTTGGCACCAAGATACAGGTGAAGCATTGAATTGCCTATACCGCCATTTTCTTGGTGCCAAAATACCTGGAAAAAAACAGCTTCATTTTCCAAATCCAGGTTACTACTCCTCTTTACCTTTACCTGCTCTAAGGTGATAACTAACTTGTTTTCACTCACCCCCAGCTACCCCAACTTAGTAATCTTAAATGACACCCCCCCCTACCTGTGATACCTTATCTGAAAGCTCTTAAAAAATTCTTTTCAATAGTACCCTACAAGCTAGGATTCGATGTAATTATTTTCAAAATAAAACCATTGAAATGTGAATTGAATTTTTGACTAATAATTTCATAAACATTCAATAGTTAATTTTGTATCAAGGGCGCGAAATGCTACTTTGGTGATCGAGATCTGATTTTTTCAACGAAGCGCAGCCGAGTTAAAAAAAATAATCGAGATCACCAAAGTATTTCGCGCCCGAGTTGCAAACAGTATTTTTTCTACAACTCCATTTAAATATCAATTATTCGAAGCCAAAATTGCATTTTCAATCAAAGGTAGATGAATTTTAATTATTTTTGATTTCCTGACAGGTATGTGTCATCATGACACCCAGTGTGCGAACTAGCTATTTCGCGCACACGTGTGCGAAATAGCTAGTTCGCGCACGGCGTCATGGGAACGTAAAAAAACGAATACCTGGGAAAAAAAGTGCCACTTCGCAAACTGTCATGAGTGTGCGAACATCATCATTTTTTGACAGTTGTAGAAAAAAACATTTTTTTACTATCGTAGCATTAATCTTGAGGCTTAAAAATTTTAGACTTGTATTATTTTTTGTTTATTCGTTGTTTTGGGAACCTGAATAAATTGACAAGTCTAAAAAAATAAAATTTTAATTTAAATGAATGAAGTTTTATTTACCCAATAAACCAAAAACAATCACATCGAATCCTAGCTTGTAGGATACCATTGAAAAGCATTTTTTAAGGGCTTTGAGATAAGGTATCACAAGTAGGGGGGTGTCATTTAAGATTACTAAGCTGGGGTAGCTGGGGGTGAGGGGGTAAGTGAAAACAAGTTAGTTATTACAAAATTTTGTTTCCCCCTCCCTACTATAGAAATTATTTTCAGCCCAGCGATTTTTTATATTTTTTTTGGTTCCTGACATATAGCCATTGTAACTTTTTAAAATGTCACCCTGTATAATTAAAGGGGGTGAAATGTCACTTATCGGAAGAGAAACTGCACTGAGTTTAGGCATTTTAAAATATAATTAAAATATCCGGAGCATAGCTAGCGATAGGAAATTACCAAGATTAGCAGCTATAAAAGGTATAAAAGTCGATATACCCATACAGTCTATTTTTTCCCAAGATAGATTTTGACATTGAAAACTTTGAAACATAAACAATAATGCTTGGCCCTGATTGGTCGCAAAATGAGGTGTCCCTGCAGGTTGACATCAGTTTTACAATGCATGTCGTGCAAATGGCATTTTGTGACCAATAAGCGTCACTAGCGGCTTTGTTTATGTTTCAAAGTTGACAATGTCAAAATCTATCTTGGGAAAAAATAAACTTTAGATAAAAACGTCCACCCTGTAAGTAAACCACTTCGGCGAATGCCAATTCCTCTCGAAGAGGCAGTGAATAAAAAGCTCGACGAATTGTTGGATAGTGACGTAATTGAGCCTGTGAAAAATCACACGGGCTGTGTATCTCCTATGGTTACCATCTGTAAACCAAACAAAGAGATACGCATATGCATTGATATGCGATGAGCTAATAGAGCAGTACTCCGAGAAAAATACCCAATTCCCATATTTGAAGACCTACTATCCAAACTGGAAAACTGCACGATTTTTTCCAGTTTGGATATCAAGCAAGCATTTCACCAAATAATGATTAAACCCGAATCTCGACACATAACAACTTTCATCACAAGTAAGGGACTATAAAGGTATAAACGGAGATTTTTTGTGTACATCGACGATATTTTAGTTTACGCTGAAAACGAGGAACCGCACGATACGAGATTGAACCATCAGAAACAAATTATCAAAATATAACGTCGTCCTAAATGAAAATAGAAGCAAAATAAAAATACCAGAAATTGAATTTTTAGGCCACAGAATATCGAAAAATGGAGTGAAACCAACGTTAGCTAAAGTCGATGCGGTGCAACGGTTCAGGCGACCAACATCTGTAGAAGAAGTTCACAGCTTCTTGGGCCTCATAAATTATGTTTCGAGATTTATTCCCGATGTAGCCACAAAAACATATCCCCTTAGACAAATCATCAAAAATAATAAGTTTACCTGGAAAAAACCTCAAGAGTTAAAAGACTGAAAGAAATTTTGACGGACGACTCTGTTCTTGGCTTTTACTCTATAGGTGATCCGACGTTTGTTATTGCTGATGCTAGTCCCATAGGCCTCGGGGCCGTATTATGCCAAAAGTCGAAAGAGGAGCCCAGAGTTATTGCGTACGGTCACCGCAGCCTTTCCGAAAGAGAACAAAAATACCACATAACTCAAAAGGAAGTCATGGCACTGGTCTGGGCAGTGGAGCATTTCAACAAATAATTATTTGTAAAAACTTTTGACTTGATAACTGATCATAAGCCCTTAGAGTTTATTTTTTCCCCCGAGAAACACCCTATGCGCACGAGTCGAACGTTGGATTCTGCAAATACAAGCTTACGAAATCAACGTAATTTACAAACCAGGAAAGACGAACATCGCCGCTCCTTTATCTCGCCTGCCAGTGAATACGAAACATCCGACAGACCTGTTTGAAGACGCATCGAACATTTAGTGAACCAGATATCTGACACCGCGAGCACGAGCTGTAATCCCGCTGTAACCATAAACGAAGTAAACGATCAATCAAAAACTGACCCACAAATCCAGATTATTAAAACATGCCTACATAATGACAAACTATGGGAGTCTGAAAAATCCATACAAGATTATATACCGTTCAAAACGGAATATTGTTGTCGCGAAAATATACTTCTACGAGGGACTAAAATTGTGATGCCAACGGACCTGCGCCGTAAGATACTGACACTAAGCCACGAAGGACACCCAGGTACAGATAATATGAAGCGCCTTTTACGTTCTTATGCATGGTGGCCGAAAGAAGATGCTGATGTTACCGAATATGTGAAACAATGCCACAAATGTGCTTAAGTCACGGTAACAAACATACCTGTACCCCTAAAAATGAGAAGTTTACCTGCTACCCCCGGACAGAAATAGCGATTGTCTTCTGTGGACCAATGCCCAACAGTATTCATCTGCTAGTAATCATTGACTATTATAGTCGATTTAAAGAAGTGATTGCCATGGAGAAAATCACCTCGAAGGACACAATAGAACAACTCCGGAAACTATTTTCCCTTCTGGGCCTACCTCGAACTATTACTGCTGACAATGGCCGACAGTTTGTCAGTAATGAATTAAACGGTTTTTGTAAAGAACATGGAATAACACTTTATTCAACCCCTCCATACTGGCCGCTAGCCAATGGACTGGTTGAAAGACAAAACAACTCAATATTGAAAAGGCTGCGCATAAGTGCAAATACCGCAGGAAGCGATTGGCAAAAGGACCTTCAAAATTACCGATTGATAGAAACACTCCACACCCTGCAACTGGAGTAGGTAACTCCTGCGCAACTTCTTTTTGGCCGTGCAACTCGAACTAAAATACCATCCATCAGTAAACAAATTATCCAGTATCCAGACCATTGTAAAGTACTTGACAACGACACACGCAAGACATCGAATATAAATGAAGGAGATACCGTTTTAGTAAGGACAGAAAGAAAGGGAAACAAACTTGGTGCACCGTATAAGAGTGAATTGTATACAGTAAAACGAAAACACCAAGGCGATGTCGCTCTAACTTCAAACTCAACAGGAAATACAATACGGTGAAACATCGCACATTTAAAACTTTATTCTTCCAGGTTAGATCTGCCCCAGTCAATACCATCCAGCAGTGAAGGAAATGTCGAAGATAGAAGAACACCTCCTCAAAGTCCATCCACACCGTCCAGCAATGAAGCAGATGCTCAGGATGAAAGTACTTCTCCTTGAGGTCAACCTCCACCAGATGCTGCACCAAAACTAAGGATAAAACTTGGTCCAAACCCTTCGTGTACCCTTCTGGATCAATGAATCTGGAAACCAAAAGAGAGGAAGTGTCACGAACTGCAGAGGCGGCGCTGCCACGCCAGCCGTGCTGTCAGTCGACTGGCGGACCGGCTCATGATATGTATTAGTCATATGTTATATATGTGGTTCTGTTATAAAATATATTTAAGTTATCGTTACTATTGTTATACAATTATTCTATATAAATATAAGGTGAATTACGAATTAACTTGTGCAAGATTCATTTCTACAGCATCTACAGACCCTAATCAATAAATCCTGACAGTTTGAAGTCCCTCTGATTGCTCGAAGGGTTTTTCAGAAGCTTCCAAAGATGATTTAATAGAAATTTTACAAGTTCTAATTTCATTATTTATAATAACTAAACATTTGTTTGAATAAGTAAAATGCAAAAAATTGCTGTTTTTTAAATAAAAATGAGCTACCAAAGACCTTATTAAATCACTAGTGATATAATGAGCTGATTAGTCATCACATCGCTAGTACAATACAACTTATTACGTAACTTGAACACATAGGCGGTTCTAGGTGGGGGCTTGTGGGGGCTACGCCCCCTAAATCTGAAATTAGCCCCCCAAATTTTTATTTTATGTGAAATAAAACAATTATGTTACTTGTAAACAAAATTTCTTCTGTAATAATGAAACCGAGAATGAAACTTTTGTATTTTTCATAAATAAATAAAAAAAATTTTGCTAAACATTTATTAAAATATAAGGTTTTTGGGCGAGGAAACCAAAAAAAAAATTGGCGGGGCATCTAGCAGCGCCTGCGGCGAGCGACCTCGGAGCAGGGGCTGCGGCCCCTCCAACACAGATGGGCTAGAACCGCCTATGCTTGAACAGGCTAAAATGAATTGCCTACTCAATTAGCTCTTATAGAGTTGTTTGTATATGATAATAATAATGTTCTTAAATGCAGATACACAATGGAACACTTGACTCAATTCTTTTTATTCCTGATTTCATTAGTCAATGAAAAATTAGTCAACCCGGGTTTTTTTTTTCTTGTTAGACAAACATTGACAGAGATACAACGCTTTGAAATTTGCTTATTTTTCATACTTTATGACGTCACACATGCTCAGTATATCTATATATACAAAACTTAATCTTTGTATAACTTTCGGAATAATCATATTTGGACAAAATTTTAAAAAAATACGTATAGATTTCTTTTTCGATTTCCTAGAGTTTGCAATAAACAATTACATATTATCAATTTAATTTTCCAGTAAAGTTCCCTATTGTAGACAACATGCAAACGTCAACACCTCTACCAGGGCCTTCAAAACGCCGCCGTGTCAGTTTTGAGGATGTAAGTGGATGGAATTTATCACCACCACTACTGGGGACGCCCAATAATCCCAATGGTTTGCTGGATGATGTAGGTCCAAAATTATATTTAGTATGTTGGATATTATGCATAGCATAACTATCATATTAATTTCCAAGAAAAAATTCTGATAATGTATTTCGATTTAGACCATTGATGATGCTGAGCCCCAAGAAAGGAGAAAATCTGCAGCGGCAAGACGGTCCAGATTAGCTTTATCTTCAAGTGATTCGATACAAGCATTATCTGACCAAGAACTAAAAGCACAATTACAGGCTGTTTTGAAACTAGACGCAGAAAATGTAAGGCTTATTTTTATATTACATTTTTAAACAAATTCATCTTCCAGAAAATAAATTCAAAAAATGCTTGGCAACTTTGTATTATAGACTTTATAACTCAACTAGTTAGCAAAAACGATCCAGATATTTTTAAAGTTGTTGGAAGTTCTTTGGAGGTTGCATCAAAAGTTTACGCCATAAGAGTTGATACTTTACATTCAGATGGAATGAAAATGGCTGGAAATTTTGCTAGAAATTTCGCATCAGAGCGACAACATAGTGAATGTAATAGTTATTTACCTAACAAATGCGAAAAGCGATACTCTACCGCACGCAACGGCAGTTGACCGAACGACGCGAAGCGAACTTCGGTCAAGCCGTTAAGGGCGGTAAAGGCACTTTCCGCATGTGTTAGGTACAAAATTTTACCTATGAGCATCCACATTTCCAAGAAAACGCATTAATACAATTAATTAATGAATCAGATTAGGTAATTAATGAAATTGGATTAGATTTAGAAATGATCAAAAATCCATTTTCTGAAAAAGAAAAGATTTTTGATTATAAATACCAAAGTCTACTTTACCGCACACTATGCGGTAAAGTAACTTCACCACACACTTTGTAGTCCACTTCACCGCATACTATGCGGTAAAGTGGTGCTACTTTCCATTTGCAAATAAGTGCGGTAAAGTGCACTTTACTGCACGCTCGTAGGTAAATATTTCAACTTTTAAATTCATAATGATTAAGTACCTACTAATAATTTGTTTAAATAGCTAACAGTGAACTCAATGAGGAAGATCAAGCAAACCAAACGCAAAAGAAAAAGAAGAAGGAACCAAAAAAAAACAAATTTGTTTTGTCAGGAGACAAACGCACTATAAGAACTGATAAAAAAGCTTTTATAGAATCTTTGCCTAAATTAGCTTGCGCTACATTTTCTGCTAGAATAGATAATACTGTAAGTGCTACATCCAATCTTTTGACCAACAAAATTAGAATGGACCCAGCTGGATACAAGTTTATGTTTGCGTAAGTAATACAAAATTATTAATTGTGTTTTGGGTTACTTTATCTAAATTTCTATTTTTTAGGAGTAGAGAAAATGCCTGGGCATCAGGTGAAGATATATCAGCAAAACCAGAAACTTGGACCAAAGAATTCCCAATCACAGTGAAATCTGTGAAATATTATGATATTTGCACTGCATTTAAAGATCTTCGAGTGGATTTCTGGGACCTTGATCAGGAAAATAATGAGTAAGAATATGTCCCTTTACAATAATGTGAATTTACACCATCGGTACAAAAACTTTCATTTCATCGTTTGTATCCTACATAAATCCCAATTTTTATTAGCAGCTTATTATTCAGTAAAAAAGTTTTTTCCGGGCTTTAATGCCGTGGTTCATTAGTATTTCTAACTAACGTTATGTCTACTGCTGACATCTTCAGAGTCGGTGTGGTAAGGGACGAAGAGTTCTCTTCCGTATTCCTCCGATGACTGGATTCGACGTTGTTGGATCTGCGTTATTTATATCCAGAGTTGTGGGCGTGGCTTGTATTATTTTCCTTGTCTCGTTCTCAGAAAAGAAGGGTCTTTGTTATTTGGAGAACTGTTAACCAACTTTTGTTGAGGTTCATACCCTTTTCTTTTTTGTTGAAGTTGTTGTGGTGTTTCTGTATCTTTATGGCTTCTCTGTGGAGTCTGGTGTAGAAATGTTTGGTTCTATCCAATGCTTGAGTCTAGTCGAAACAAATGACATGGTTTGTTTGTGTAAGCACGTGTTCGGCGATTGCTGATCTATTTGTCCCTGCTGAAATTAACAACTCGAATTACGAGATTTAGTTTAAAAAAAAAAAAATATTTTCGAGCGTGGTTACAATACAACTGCCTTAAACCTTAGTAAAATGAATATTTATAATTATAAGCTTTGCTGACAAAGCGGTTCTCATCAAAAGCAACGGTTGGTCTAGTTCTGAAAACAGAGATAACAAAATGCTTAACTCTAAGTTTACGAGAATGTAACTTCTCCCGTGTAAGTTTAAAGCATGTACTGAAAAATAAACAAAACGTGATTTCACAAAAATATAAAAAAAAATTAAAAAATGCCTTCAACTTCATGACTTTCAATTTTTGGAAGTTTTCGAATTTTCTTAATGCATAATAATGAGATTTTGTCTTCGTTTATTTTGTTAATTAGTTTTTCTTTTGATTGTTGGGTTTTGTTAGTAATTTCATCATAAAGTACTCGAGTTTTATTTTTGTGGGTATTAAGATATTCTCTAGCATCTGTGTGTCCTAATACGAGTTCGTAAGGACTAAAATGAATAGTGCTGTTGTAAGCAATAATAGCGTATGGCATAAGTATGGTGACATCCGAATCTGGGTCTGATTCTCGCAATATTCGAATATGTTCGATTAGAGTAGAATGTAGCCTTTCGACTGGTGAATTAGATTTGTGGTGATAGGGGGTGGTAAAATATATTTTTATATTGCGGGCTTTAAGATGTCCATTGAATATTTCGTTTTTAAATTCCGAGCCATTATCAGAAATAATTTGTCTTGGTACACCGAAAAATTGGAAAAAGTGAATTAATTGATCTGCGCAGGAAACTGCATTTCCTGAATAGGGGAGTGCTTGAGCAATTTTGGAAAATTTATCTAATAACGTGAGGAATTTTTGTTTGCCTATTATGAATGATATCAAAAGGTTTACTCGGCGTTTCGCTAAGCACGAGGGGTTGGTCAGGAGGCTTACGATAGTATTTAGTTCTTTGACAAATTTCACAATTATTGATGTATTTGATAACATCTTGTTTTTAAGATTTCCAATAATAATTCGCTTTTATAAATTTGTGTGTTTCGTCAATACCGCGGTGGTTTGCTTTCCCTTCGTGTCTGTACTTAATTGTGAGTTCTCAGTCTTCTGGTTGCACGTTATTAATTAACTTCGTACATTCAATTAGTTTTAGGTTTTTAAAGTGATTTCTCATGCATTGTTGGAAATAGATTCTAAGATCTTTCGAAAAGAAATAAATGTATGTTGACTTTGTCTGCAGATATTCTTTCAGAAATTTCAAAATAGCTGGAATTTGGGTAGGTGAAGTTGCATGAATGATTTTATTACCGTCAAAATTTTTGGGTTCTATTTTAATGTAGGCATCGTAAGGAGATTTTTTAATAATAAATTGCATTGATTTATTATTAATTATTTCGTCTAGCATAGTCATATTTGAATAATTGTCTACAGCGTCTGTGCTATGTGCTGTTTGAGTTGGAAGGGACTCAATTTCATTTTGGTCTGAAGATATTATAATAGGGGCTTGATAGTTGGCTTTACTTGTGGATGGACGACTTTCGAAATTTGCTGGTTAGGCTATTGACTATGTCATTCAATAAGGAACTAAGACGTTAGTGGAATTTTATTGTTTAATATGTTCAAATGGTCCCTAGAGATGATAAAACCGCGGAGTGCTACCAGATATAGGTTTGATGCATTGAGATTTATTGTAGAGAATAAAATTTCCTATCGAAATCACGTATTTTGAAGTCCAACAACTTGTCTTTTCAACAAAATAAATCCAAAAAACAACTTGAAAAAAAAATCAAAAAATTGACTTTTTATTTTTTTCTTCAATTTTTGCCTATAACTTTTTTCTGACTTAAGCATAGTGATTGCTTCATGAAAAATGAAGCTTATGTAATTTCCGTGAAAATGGCGGCTAGTAGAAGTTCTTACGATAAGAAATGACCGAGATATAGGCATTCAAAGTTAACAACTTTTTTTCGATTTTTCAACTTTTTGCTATCGTATCGTGATATTTTATTTTTTTGCATGGTAAATTTATTTTTATTCAATTAACAAACTATTTTACAATAAATAAATGACAATAGTAGATGTATTAACTCAAATTCAAATAACGTAGGTATCCAAATTTATATTTAAGCTAATATACCTAATAATCAGTAAATAATAGGTATATATTTTTTGGAATTGCGAGATTTACTGCAGTATACAATATCCTCTTCTAACTTTTAACGCGACTTTGAAAACTGTGAATTTCAAAAATTTGTGTGGGTTACAAAAGAAGAATACAATTTTTTAAAAGTTACAAGTTTTTGAAAGCGCATTCAAGTTAAAAGAGGATGTTGTATACGGCTATTAGACATTTTGCACAGCATATATACGGCTTGAGGACGTTCCACCAACTACAACAGCAGTGGAATCAAAATGCTCTAAATACACTTGACTGGCATTGGGAAAAGTCAAACCATAGTTTGATACCAATACGGACGGTTTAGCCTCCTGCCCTGCAAACTTTGCTGGAGGAAATTGCTTGTGGATACACAAAAGGTTGCCAAGCATCCTGTGGCTGTAGAAATTAGGAATAACCTGTGTCATGTTTTGTAAAGAATGAAGCATGTATTGGTATCAATTGCGACTACATTGAAATCCCAGGCATTACCGAAGAAAACATCCATACTGGAATCGAAGCTGAAGTTGATATTGAACTCGAAAGTCTTTTTGACAGAATGATGTAACATGATATAAAATCTGTTTTTTTTTTTTAAAGATAAAAGTCGAAATGACATTATGTTGGCAATACAATGTGAAATTGTCAATGATTTCAATTTTTTTATGTAGAAAAGGCTTGTGTTGCCAACATAGTTACTAAATTTTTGACTTGGGGAATTATCTCTAAAAAAAGACAAACTTTATGTATATCGATTTTACAATGTATATAAAATAAATTCATAAAAAGTTTATTTGTACCACATTATTATTCATAAAATTAACACTAAATTATTGCAAAATAATTTGTTATTGAACGAAAATTGATCTAGCATGCTAGAATAGAAAACAACACGATTTGAAGGCAAAAAGTTGAAAAATCGAAAAAAAGTTGCTAACTTTGAATGTCTATATCTCGGCTATTTTTTATCGTATGAACTTCTACCAGCCGCCATTTTAACGGAAATTACATAAGCCTCATTTTTCATGAAGCAATCACTATGCATAAACTTCGTTTTTTATGAAATAATGCCTATGCTTAAGTCAATTCAGAAAAAAGTTATAGGCAAAAATTAAAAAAAAAAAATAAAAAATCAATTTCATGATGATTTTTGGAATTATTTTGTTAAAAAAACAAGTATTTGGACTTCAAAAGATGTCACTTCGATAGGAAATTTTATTCTCTACAAAAAACCTCAATGCATTTGTGCACCAAAAATGCGTAGTTATTGAGTTATAACGGAAAACCCAAAAAGCTGAGAAACTCACCCCGCTCTTAAAAATGCACCCCTATATCTGGTGGTAGCACTCCGCGGTTTTATCATCTTTAGGAGCCATTTGAACATATTAAACAATACAATTATTCCACTAACATCTTAGTTCCTTTTACCCCCGTTTTTTACGACATAATCCAATAGCCCGAATCTGAACCTTCGATACGATATTCACTTTAGGAACTGACGCTATTGGGATCAAAACGTGGATCAAGATTTTCGTTTAAAAATTGATTGATATCTTCATCAATGTTTCCGGGAAGATTAATGAGAGATTCGGATTCAATAGCATGTAAGGATATATGAGAAAGTGCATCGGCGTTTGCATTTTGGTTGCCTTTTTTATAAATGATCTCATAATCGTATTCCTCAAGCTTGAGGCGCCATCTTATTAGCTTGGATCCTGGCTCTTTCACGTTAAAAAGCCAGACCAGAGGTCTGTGGTCAGTATATATTTTAAATTTTCGTCGGCCCAAACAATAGCCAAAAGTTCTTTTTCTATTGTGGAATACCTTTGTTCGGTTTTATTGAGTGTTCTAGACGCAAAAGCGATTGGCTGATCGTGAGGTGGATTTCCTTGTGACAAGGACGAAATTCGAGGCGTCTGTAGAAAGTACAAAGGGTTTTTCGAAATCAGGGTATTTCAGGATAGGTGCATTTATAAGAAGTTCTTCCAAATGATTGAATGATTTTATGAAAGGTTCACTATGAATGACTTTTGCACCTTTTTTTAGGCAGGAGGTCAAGGGTTTTGTGATTTTGGCAAAATCCTTGATGAATCGGCGATTATAACCGGCTAAGCCTTAGAAAGATTTTATATCCTTTTGTGTTAGTCGGGGTTTGGTTTAACTCCATCGTTAGTGATTTTGTGTCCAACATACGCAACTTCTTTGTGCAAGAATTCAGACTTATCTAGCTGGATTTTGAAGTTTGACTGAGACGCTCAAAGACGTTACGAGGTCGTTGTATGTGTT